TGGAGCGCCGCCCGGCGGGCGGGGCCGGGGCTCCGCGCGGGGGCGGCCAGGTCTACCCAGCTGCGCTGGGACGGAGGCCCGAGCGGCGGGCGGGGATCTCCACAGCAGCAGCGCGGCGGGAGGGTTTAAACTGGTTGACAAGGCTCTTACAAGGCTGGGGCGTCCCCGTTTCTAGGGAGTTTTCACTCTTCCAAGGCAGTGCTCGATGATGAGGTTTCTTCCTCCAGCTCCCCGTAGCCAGGAGTGTCGCAGCTCGTCTGCCYAGGGTTGGCCTGGGTCAAATCACATCGGCAGCCTCGTTCGGTGGCATTGCCGCCCCTTGYGCGTCAGCTCCAGCAGCAGCGAGGACACGGCCAGGCCGCGCTCCTTCCTTTGAGCGCGGGAGGAACACGTTGCCACCGCGCTGCAAGGGCCATCACCCGCGCGTCACAGCCCGGAGCAGGAGCCTGGTGTCCTTGGAGGGGTGGGCAGAGCCCAGCTCCACTGCTTCAGCAGCTGGGCCACCTCCATGAGACCCCCAGAGCTGGTTCTCCGCAGCTGAAACAGGTTCTCACAGGTTCCGCGCACAGGCAGCTGTTCAAGCCTGGCAGAAATACCAACATCTCAATGGACTCAGCTCAGCTTCACCCTGTCAGAGCTGGATTGGGCTTTCCCTCCGTGCAGCTGGAAGAGAAGACAACTAGATAACTCAGCAGAGATGGACAGCACTAGGTGACAAGGGGAAGAAGCAGGAAAGCTGAAGAGAGGTTCATGGAGGACCATTTTCAGATGCTCTTGGCTGCCTCTTAGGCATTCAAGCTCAGAGCAGGCGTGGGTCACTCTCCAGCAGCCGGGAGGCTGAACTYTCCTCTCCATCAGCTGAAGGAGCTACAGAAGGATCTTCTCCATCACCCAGAAGGGAGCTATATTTAGCTAACTGATAAAACTGCATCTGGAAGATCGGCAGAGTCAATACGAGCACCATCACCTTGCACACCCTTCAGTGTCCCAAGCTTTGAAGTCCTTGGGGAAAGTCGCACCAATGTYTCACAATCCACACCTCTACCACTGCACAGCAGACAGTTCACACCTCGTGTCACCCTTGGGAGAATTCCCCATCCTACAGTTCCCCAAAAGACCATGCAGTACCACAGAGCTCTGGTACTTGGACAGGAACCTCTGCTGTTCCACTTCTCAGGCAACACTTCAAGTCCAATTTTGTTTTCAATGAATGGTACCAAACAGAGCATCATAGAGAGTACTCAGTCCTTCCCACCTCCCCATTCTTCTTCCAGAGAGCCATATCRGAAGGACCCAGCTATAACAACCATTATCCTTTTATTCCTCCTATATAGGAGCAACCTTTCTTCTTTCCAGGTTTCTCCTTACATCAAGGATTTTCTAGTCTCCCCTACCATCTCTGCAGGGGAAATCTGCTTTCTGATGGCACACCCAATAAAGCACCCACCTGAGATACCTCCAGATGTAGCAACAAGTTCTTCGTGTTAACGCTCTCTTGCTATGGTTTCATACATCTTGCTACATCTCATTTCTTCTGGGCTTGGGTCTTCTCAGTTTTCAGAGGTTGTTCTAGGCACTGCTTTGAGGAGTGCTAATTCACTGGCATGAAGCAGGAAAGTGCACTTAAAAACAGTAATTTGGAATATTATAATAATCTGCCTTTTTTCCATCAATTYTCTACTAAGGATCTTGAACCTTTCTGTAAACTGAAAGCTGGAAGAAAATATTACAGCTCAGTTAAACGTTTTGCCTGGAGCTATGCAGTAAATCACTGGCWGAAAGAGGAGCACAACCCAAGAGTCTTGCAGACTGCCATTAGATAGTCCTCTTTCACTCCAGTCTTGAAGAGCTGCATTAGCCCTGTATACATTTCCTACGTCGCACGTATTTTCCAACTACTGCARGAAATGCTGAGATTTTGGATCATACTTTTAAAATTGCATGTCTTTCCTCTGAAACAAGCCATGCCCACCATTGCTACAGGAATGACAGACAGTGTCACCATTTTTTTCTGCGCCAGGCCAGTTTCCCGGCTCAGGTTCTTGGTGGTCCAACCCAGGAGCGATCAAGGGTTATTGAAGACATTTGGTCTCATCAGGATTGTCCGGGCTCTGCTTGGTCCCAGACATCTCTGATCGGACGACTCACCCACCTTCAGCCCATTCTCATTTAAATTCTCTCTCCAGGAGACAAAAACAGAGGTGGGTTGTGAGCAGCAGTGTTTGCAGGCAAGCTATTGCATGGAGGAACTCCAGATTCCCATCAGCAGCAGCAGAGACACAGCGCACAGGATGTGTCCTGCTGTGCCAGACTAGGCTTGACATGGCTCGCTCTGCGTCAGCTCAGTGTGTCATGGGGGCCCTGCACTGGGGAACTCATCCCTGCCTGGATTCGGCACAGCGTATGACCCAGCACACTGGATTTCCAGCTCTGCTCTCACCTGCTGGGCCTTCCCTCTCCTGCTCTCRCGAGCCAGCAAGGTTGTGGTTGCTGATCCCACCCTCAGTCATCCTGGGTACCCGAGTTTTGCATAGTTCACTTTACATGCAACAAAAGCAAATAGATGAGGAGAGGATGCTTATTGCCTTGGGAACACGGCAAAACACAAACACCACTGACTAACTCAACATGGAAATACCCTCCCTAGAGAGGAAGGCAGAAGGCCAAGAGAGAGCGTGTGGCTCGAGGGAATTTCCATCACCACAGAAGCACTGGGACTCCACCCTGAAGTCCTTCCTGGCTTCAGTTAACAAGGTGACTCAACAGCAGCATTGATTAACTGAGACCAGCACTTGGTCACCGTCAAACAACTGGAGACTGGCGGCCATGGAGCTCACTGGGAGGAAGGCAATCCCAATCCATGGAAAACCTTCACCTAGTGGGAAGGTGTCTGTCTGCAAAGGGGCAAAGAAGAGTCCGACCAGGCCCAGTGCTGTTTCTCCAAGAGGCCCAAAGGAGAAAATGGGGAAGACCTTCTATAGGTCTACTGGGCGCTAGGTGAAGTAGCAGAGCCCGGCCTGAGAAGCGCAGACAACTTGGCGTTCTCAGCACCACTGAGCTGCCTCCAGAAGATGGAGTGTCCTGCTCTGCTCAGCACCATGGCACACCTCTCAACCCACCGCTGCCAGCTAAACAGCAGCYGGGCACGCTCCCAAGATTTGCTACCAAATCCAGGGAGTGCTCAGATTCAGGTCACTGAATCACGCACACCTGGACAGAGCAGAATCCRCTCGCCACGCTCAAGTTGCCGAACCAACAAGATAAAGTGCGGGGGCCAGTAAGTCAGGGAGTAACACCTATACTGTCGTGGKGAGCTTAAACTGCAGCAGGGTTAGGAAGAG